AGAGTACTTTTGGCAGACTGACAAATGTCGCTAGTACCACTATGAGATTTTGCCATGTGAAACTTCATTTTCCCCTCCCATTTGTTAATTTCTGTGAAATGTGTTCTCTTTTACGACCTATTTGGCTTTTACTCAGTGTTGATTTACTGTAGGTAAAGCATGAACTCTTGTTCTGCTTGTGATGTAGATCAGCTGGCATGTACTCTTTCTGCAAAATGTTTCTTTACTTCTTTTTTTAACTTATTTTCTTATATTAAATAATAAAAATGGTTTATTTACTATATTAATAATTATTGTATAATTATAAATAAGTATATAGATAATTATTATGTTGTATAGCATATACAAATGTATAGATAATAATTATGTATTTTACATAATAATAATAGTTTTTCAAGACAGGGTTTTTCTGTATAACCCTGGCTGTCCTGGAACTTTCTCTGTAGACTAGGCTGGCCTTGAATTTGGAGATCTATTTGTCTCTGACTTTTTCGTAGTGGGATTAAAGATATCTACCACCACACCCACTTTTAGCAGTTTTGCAAGGACTATCCTGTTATTAAGATGGATATACATAGAGTTGTTGTTATGAGCTTGAAATTTATTCTAATTGTGGTTAGAAGATGGGTTTTTGAGTTTTTTTTCTTTCTTTTTTATTTGGTAAACTTTTTTTGAAGCCTGAGGCAATGACAAATAAATCTAGGGAAGTGGGAAGTGCACTCAAGTTTCTTTATTATTCAGGAAGGGAGTAGAATACAATGTGTTGAGTGAAGCATTGTGGAACAGCAGGTAAAGTAGCTGAGATGTAACTGAGGGGGGCTTATTGCTGGAAATCATACTCCAGCATAGGGCTCTTCTATTGAAAAAGAAGGTCCTGAGTTCAGTTCTTGGGTTAAGTACATCTGTAGGGATTAAGTCATAGTTATTCATTGTGTCAGTTGGAGCAGTAGATGGCATAGCCTCACTGTAAGATGTAACTCTGCTGTTGACTCTTGCCAGAGGCCATAGGGCCACAATTAGAACTGGCTAAGTGTATTCACTCCTATTAGTGAGCAGAATCTGCTGGTTGAAATAACTGTAGGAAATAAAGGGGGGAAATGGAATACTGATTATTATTACAAATTTAAAAAAGACTTAGGTTGTGAGTGTTTTATATGCATTTATGTACATGCATGCTGTGCCCTCAGAGTTCAGAAGAGGGTGTTGGATCCCCTGGGACTGAGTTACAGTCACTTGTGAACCTTCAAGTGGGTGCTAAGGAATTGAACCTGGTTACTCTCCAAGAACAGCTAGTACTCTTAACCACTAAGCTAGTGTTCAGCCCCTAAACTTACTAGTTTAAAGGCATGATTGTGGTAGTAGTGTTTTAAACAAACAATAAATAGATTTGCAGTAAATGTTTGTATGAAAAAATGCTGTATGAGAAGTGTGTCACAAAGCTAAATTCCGAAACATACAGAGTCAATGTAATAAATGCTGTGGAAGATACAAAGTGAAAGTAATGTGAATGACATTAGTCTGAAAAGATTAGGCTTATTAGGCTTCTTCAGGATGAGTAAGGAAGCAACAGGACTTAAAACAATTAAGAAATTGAATGGGCACTGTAAGATCTAGTGGATATGAAAGTTACAGACTTTAGAAGTGAAAGATACAATATAATTTAAAAAGCGTAACAACATGAAAGAGAGATAATGTCACTAGAATGTCATTTTTCTTTTTTTAAAAATTTATTTTTGATATCGGCTCAGGATTAGACCAGACTTGCTTTGTACTTGTAATGATTTTCCTGCCCTTGCTCAAATGCTGCTGTTGCGGGTGTGTGCTACCATGCCCGCATGTGCTACCATGTTTTCAGTACTGATCTATAAACCAAGGCAGTATCAAAATACAAGTTGTCATATAATTTCCATCTGTGTGCTTTGGCACATACACGCAAAATAAATACATACAAATATAATTAAAACATTAGCCACCTGTTGTTAGGAAATGTGTTCTGCAGATACAGCTGAAAATTGGTTGATATCCAGAATAAAATGTTAAAAAATATTACACAGATTGATAAGGAAAAGACATCTCATAAAGAAAAACAATCAAAAAAACCAAAAAACCCAAACCAGCAGCTGGAATGGCAAATGAAAGGATTAGAGTAACCCAGACATAATAAAATCAGAGAGATGCAAAGTAAAATGAACTAGCCTCTTAAATCTGTTTTGATTGTGCGGTGTGTGTGTGTGTGTGTGTGTGTGTGTGTGTTTGTGTGTTTGCAGCACAACATCCATGTGGAGGTCAGTGGACAATTTGAATGAGTTGGTTTTTTTTTATTCTATCATGTGGCTTCCCAGACATCAAAGTTAGGGCATCAGGCTTGGGGCTAAGCACCTTTATCCAAATAGCCAGTTCACTAGGCTTCTTTTCATACGTTAGATTGCTGGACACTAAATTCTGACAATATTAATGTTTGATAAAGAGGCAGAAAATTTCACACTTTCACATGTGCTGTCAGAACTATTGTTTGGACAGCTTTTTTTTTTTTTTAATTTTCTTTTATAATACCTGATTTTTAACAGGTATCTCCAAACTAGATATTTCACTGGTGTGTGCAAAGAAATTTTTAACAGAGATATATCACTGTTTTAGTGTAGTGTTGGAAATAGTTTCAGTATTCACTGAAAGGACAGTGTGTTGATAAACAGTGGCAAAATTATGCACTGGGATATGATTTGGTATTTACTGAACTTGAAAGGATCAGCACACTGTTAAGTATAATGTGATATCATTTCTTAAAGGTTAAAAACATGAAAAAGTATTATATGTATTTATGGAAACATAAATAAACATATTTTACATAACATATTTATATGTTTATGTTTCCATGAATACATATAATTTATACATATACATAATAAATATATCAGCATAATACCAACCTCAAGATAATGGTCATCTCTGTAGAGCAAGTTTATAACTATTTGAAACTTGCATTTGAGCTGTGGATTCATGGCTACCTTTTATGTGTTCATCTGTTTAAATACCATCTAGGATAAAAATAAAGGTAATTTCTTGATCAGAGGTCTTTACAGAGTATATGGTAGCAAAAAATTGAGGTAACTGAATTTTTTATGTTTTAGAAAAGAGTATATTAGGAACTAGAGAGATGGCTCAGTGGTCAAGAGCATTTGCTGTTTTTCCAGAGGTATCTAGGTAATTTCCATTACCCATGTCTGGTGGCATGCAACTGCTTATGACTCAAAGTCCAAGGGATCCAGCGCTCTCTCTGGCCACTACCAAGACCCACACAGATGTGTAACACACACACACACACACACACACACACACACACACACACACACACACGCACATATATATGCATACACCTAAATAAAAGTTAAAAAATTGCACATTACCATAGTAGCATATATGCCCAGAACTTTGGAGGTAGAGGCAGGAGAATCAGAGGTTCAAGGTATCTTTATATACATAGTGATTTCAAGGCCAATTTGGCTAATATGAGATCATGTTTCAAGTAGAATCTTTTTTAAAAGCCCTTATTTTTATGTTAAAGAATGAGATAAGTAAAATGAGAAAGATAACAGAAGTTTTTTGTGATGTTTCTGTATGTGTTTGTGTAGGAGTTGGCTAGAGACCCAGTGTTGGGAGTCTTCCTCGTCTCTGTTTTTCCTTGCAGGGTCTGTCACTGAACTGACCTCACTGATCTGACTAGAGAGGCTGGCTGCAAAGCTCCAGGGATCCACCCTTTGCTGCTTCTGCTCCTGGGGTTACAGATACATACCGTCATGTCTGACCCTTTACATGAGCTCTAGGGATCCAAACTTGTGTGACAAGCACTGTAATACTCCCTTAGACCAATTGTTTGTTTTAACTTGGTGGGTCTAAATTACAGTGAAGATAAAAAGCTTTTGTTGTTCTTAGAAAGGTTGTCTCTCTCTCTCTCTTTTTTTTTTTTTTTTTTTTTTTGTAGATAGCAGGAAGATAGAAAAGAGATAGAAATAAATTGTGAGCTAGAGAAATCATTTGAAGGAAATGTGTTTTTTTTGTTTTTTTTTTTGTGTAAGTTGTAAAAGTTGAAATCATCCATCTGGAAGTAGTGTATGTGGAATTTTTAAATTGAAGGATATGAAGAATGGAATCAAGTTGATAAAAGTAGAACCAGTAGCATTGAAGGACAAAGTAGGGCATTACAATAAACTTTGTAACAGTACTTACTTGTATAATCTTGTCAACTTCAGCTTAATAAGTTAAGGCCATGATCTTTGCATTGAACCTGTTAAATCAGGTCCAGAATTCCCTAAAAATGTATGAGTAGTAGTAAGTAGGTTTCTTAGTGTTTCTTGCTTATAACTTCAATTTCTGTTTCCGCCTCATCTTTAATGTTTTAGTGAGTTTCCCAAAACATTTGTTCTATTGATGGCATTCATTCTTGTTTCTGCATTTTTCTTATGAAATTTTGTGTGTTAGATGATTGATTAGCTTTGTGTAATTATTCTGTCCCCTTAATTCAGTCTTGAGTGAGAGTCTTCAAAGATATCGCAGAAAGATAATTTGTTATTCCTTTTTGTATAATTGTTGAATAATAAAATAGTGAAACTTTTTTTCCATATTAATGTTTTTAGAAATTACCCCGACTTGGACAGTAAAACTTAATGTTATATGGTTTCAATAAGACTATTTTCAGTACTTGCTACTTTTTTTCTCCCCCTTGGAAATAGGATCTCATATAATTCAAGCTGACCATAAAGTTACCAGATAACCAAGGATAGCTCTGAACTCTTTTTGTTGCCTTTACCTCTCAGTGTTGGTATTACAAGCATGTGCCACCATGTTTGGCTTAATACTTGTTCACACACACACACACAGAGAGAGAGAGAGAGAATGTGTTTTCAGAAAGCTGCAGTCAGTATGCTTGTTAAGGCTTTCATTTTGGGGTACAAAAACTGATATTGAATGTGACTACTCAGTGTTTCTATTTTTTTGTGTTCCAGTTCTTTTGCCAAGAAAATGGTTTGCCCATTCCTGAGCACATACTGTCCTTTCTAATGGGACAAGATCCAATATGAATGTAAGTGATGGAGGAAGACGACGCTTTGAGGATTATGAACACACATTACGGATATATCCTGGGACAATTTCAGAAGGAACGATTTACTGTCCAGTTCCTGCCAGAAAAAACTCCACAGCTGCTGAGGTGATTGACTCTCTTATAAACAGACTTCACCTAGACAAAACAAAATGCTATGTTTTAGCAGAGGTAAAGGAATTTGGTGGAGAAGAATGGATACTCAATCCAACCGACTGTCCAGTTCAACGAATGATGTTATGGCCCCGAATGGCTTTGGAAAATCGTTTGAGTGGAGAGGACTACCGCTTTCTTCTGAGAGAGAAAAACCTGGATGGGTCAATCCATTATGGTAGCCTCCAGTCATGGCTACGGGTAACTGAGGAACGCCGCAGGATGATGGAACGAGGTTTTCTCCCACAGCCTCAACAGAAAGACTTCGATGATTTATGTAGCTTACCTGATTTGAATGAGAAAACTCTCTTAGAAAACCTAAGGAATCGCTTTAAGCATGAGAAAATTTATACTTATGTTGGCAGTATTCTAATAGCTATTAATCCATTTAAATTTCTTCCTATTTATAACCCCAAATATGTCAAAATGTATGATAACCACCAGCTGGGAAAACTTGAACCCCACATATATGCTGTGGCTGACGTAGCTTATCATGCTATGCTTCAACGCAAAAAGAATCAGTGTATTGTGATTTCAGGAGAGAGTGGTTCTGGGAAGACTCAAAGCACAAACTTTCTTATTCATCACCTGACTGCCCTCAGTCAGAAAGGGTTTGCCAGTGGAGTAGAACAGATTATTCTTGGAGCTGGACCAGTGCTTGAGGTAAGGTACATAGAAATACTTTTCTATTCCTTCCTTCTCTTCTTCCCTCCTTCCTTCTTTTCTCTCTTTTTTTTCTTTCTCTTTCTTTTTCTCTTTCTCTCTCTCTTGTTCCTTCTTCCTCCTCCTCCTCCTCCTCCTCCTCCTCCTCCTCTTCCTCCTCCTCTTCTTCTTCTTCTTTTTTTTGTAAAGGCAAAGTCTTTCTACAAAACCCTAGCTGTCCTTGAACTCACTACGTAGACCAAGCTGGCCTCGAACTCATGGAGCCACACCAATCTCAGCTTCCTTAGTGCTGGGATTAAAGGTATGTGTTACAACAGTAAGCTTGAAATAATTTTTTTAAGTAGTCAAGAAAAATTGGTATATGTGAGAAGATGAAATAGAACTACAAGACAGACAATTGTAGTGACAAGGGAAGCTGGAAAATGGTAGAGACAAAATGTAACTGATAAGAAAAAAATAAAATTAAAAAAAAATGGTAGAGACAAGGCAGGTGTGATACTAATAATTTTTTTTTAAAGCAATTCTCATAGGAGTTAGCTACACTCCTACAGTGATTGCTACTCTTACTTGTCATGTGCAAACCATGGATTCTATCACTAGTACCACCCAAAACAAACAAAAAAAAGAGTTTCTTTGAGCCATGGGAATAGTAGCTTATCCCTTTTCAATGAAGCAGAGCTTGAGGAAGAAGGTGAAAACTAGAATTTAATAGAATGTGATACTTCTGGAAATAAATAAATAAATTTCTCCGGTAGTTGTGAATATTAGTTTTGTTACTCCTATTTGGTTGTTTTCATGACTTGGAAACTAATATTCAAAATACTGTATTTTTTTCCCCATGCAATCATTGTTTTCTGTGGTTCTGATTGACTGGGGACTTTTAAAGAAGCCTACACATATTAATGCTCTCAGGCTTTTATTTGAGGTTTTAGGTGCTTGTTGAAGACCCCTTCCTTTTTTTCCCCCTCAGTCTGCTAAGTATCAACCTCACTTTTTTATTTTCTGCTGTCATGCAGACTCACATTCAAACACAAGTCCGAGCTCTTTACTGGACATTCGTATATTCTTTGACACATGTCTCTTGCATGCACATGGCTTTCTACATGTATAAGCAATTGTTAATACCTTTTTTGAGACATTCTATATTTTTGTATATTAGCATTTTGTCTGCATATGTGTGTACTGCTGGCAGAGGCCAGAAGAGGGTATTGGATCTCTTGGAGCTGGAGTTCCAAATGGTTATTATTCCCACCAGAGTTTTCTGAATTAAATCCTGGTCCTCTCTAAGAGCACCTAGTGCTTTTAATCACTGAGCCACCTCTCCAGCCCTGTCTGTCACACCTTGTCAAGCCCATTTTATGCAGGTAATTTACAAGGTGCCCCCCCCCCCCCCACTTTATTATTATCAGCTTAGGGAGAGACAAACATGGTGATAATGGGTATGGAGAGGCTGTTTTCAGTTGAGTGATCAGTGACTCAGTTCAGGTAATGAAAACCCTTAAAGTGAGATTTTTTTTCCTGGAAAATGCTGGACAAGTTAAATCGTGACGAGCAGTGCTATGGAAGACCCTCAGCTCTGTTCTGGTGGTGTCTAGAATGTTTTATAAAAAATCGTTGTGGGGTGTACTCTTTTACTGTGGAGGTAGGGAGGAATGAATAATAATAGATACAAATTTTAAGCGCCTATTTAAAAATAAAAACACAAATTTAGCTGGTATCTTAAGTGTGCATTAATTGAGGATTATTGATGATCCTGTCTACTTAATAAAGTTCTTTTAAAAATCTTCTATGGACAGTTCTTGTCTGAAGTCTTGTTTCTTGTATGAAGGAGGATTTTCAGAGTTCCTTATTTTGACAGTTTTACTAACGTCTGTGGTGAAGAAATAGGATTGTTGGATCATTTTTTAAGAGTAAAGTTAGAGTGGTTCTGTTATTTTGATTTCTCACCAGCAAATATTAATAGCAGCATTTGTCTTTGTAATTTTTTTCTAGCCATTCTGATAGGTACATACTGGCACTGTATTGGGTACCTTGAGGTCTTGACTGTAGTCTTACAATACCGTGTTTCCCATATGTATTTGCTGTCTCCTGTGGTGAAGTGTCTACAAGACGCTCTCAACATGGTCCGGAAGGGTTTCACCCGATTGACAGATTTGCATTTCAACAAAAAATTAAACAACAGGGAAACTTTCTGCTTCCATTATTAAGTGTTACATACCCAGCCTCATTGGTGCAAATCTGTAATCATAACACTTTGGAGGTGGAGGTCAGCCTGGACTACAGTGAGATTGTCTTTAAAACAAAACAAAAAGTTGCACATGTGAAAAGAAGAATAGTATACTGTGAAACAATATTTTTTCTCTAATCCTGCTTGTTTTCCTCTCTTTTGCTAAACTTAAATGATAAAGACTTAATTTTTTTATTTTGTTATATTTTTATAAATTTCTTGAGAAAATGTTTTTTTATAGTGGACAAAGGAAGGACAGAATTGACAAATTATTTAAGGCGTTCAAATCTCACTATTGCTAAAAGTTATATATTGACAAAGAGTAAGTGTGTGTGTGTATGTGTATCTCACAATTTTCTTGATAGTGTTGGACAGCCCGAGCTCTTCCCATCTGTTATTCAGAATGATGTAGTGGATTACAAACATTCACAAGTGCTATTTCTAGAGATTTTCAGGAATAGATATTTGCTATGTCACTGTATCATAATTTATAGTACTCATTACACTCTCACAGTAATTGACATACATAGACAGTGTTTCTCAGACTTACATTGTGTCTTGACTACTCTGGTACCTGTAGGAGTAGAAGTATCAGTTAAGTTTATTTCTTCACTGTGTGAGTGTGTGTATAATTAGAGATATGTGATTTTTATTGAATTTTACAAGGAAACCTGTCAGTGAATCATCTCAAAATCAAAGTTTTTTAAAGATACTGTGAGCAGGCCATTCTAGGCTGTAGATAATTTATTTTTGGTGGCATTGATACACATTATTAGCTCCTGCTTTTACAAAAGTTATAATTTTATTGAGTTATAACTTATAAGTTACATTTAGAATGTACAGTTTAATGAATGCATAAATATGTAAAATATATATATACCCATCTAACTGTCATATAATAAAGCTTCAGAATATTTTTTAAAAATATTTGTTTGTTTGTTTATATATGTGTGGATGTTAAAGTGCTACCCGCATTTGTGGAGGTCAAAAATCAGCTTCTGGGAGTCTGCTTTCTTCTCCCACCACGTGAGACCTGGTGACCAAACCCACATTGCAGGTTTTCTGGCAAGAGCCTTTGCCTCCAAAGCCATCTTGCTGGTCCCAGAATATCTTTCTCAACCATTGGTCCTGTGGACATAGCCCAATTCTATCTTCATTCTCAGACAACCTCTAGTTTACTTCTTTTTACTATTTTATCCTTTTTAGAATTGGATCTAGATAGATTATGTAATTGTACTCTATGTCTAATTTGTTTTGCTTAACATAGTGTTGACTGTTCTTCATTGGTATTGTTTCATTAATTCTTCTTTATTGCTGGCCATTATTCCATTGCCTGGTATATACTTTAGGTAATGATACAGAGAGCTTTTAGTTCTTATCTGTATAATAATAGTTTTGTTTTAAATAGATAAGTATAGTACTTTAATGAAACTTCATTTATATACTTCTAGAATGATCAGTTTTAATGTAATATTTTCTTAGCCTCTTATTTCAGCAAAATGCTTTAGTATAAATCTACGAAGAGGGCCTGGACAGATGGCTCAGAGGTTAAGAGGACTGGCTGTTTTTCCAAAGGTCCTGAGTTCAAATCACAGAAACCACATGGTGGCTCACAATCATCCATAGTGAGATCTGGTGCCCTCTTCTGGCCTGTAGCCACACATATAGCAAGAATAATTAATAAAATATATCTTAAAAATTAATTTAAGAATAAATTTGCTATCTTTGGAATATGAAGAAATCTTGATGTTAATGAAATTATTTTTTAAAAGAATTTGTTAGTTTTTAATGAGCCTCTTTGTGTGGCTTCAAGCCACTAGCATACTCCAACCCCCGAAACCTCCTCCAACAAACAGACAAACAGACAAACAAACAGATAAGCAAACAAACACCCACCTCACACCTTTACTTTTCTCCTTAACTCTTCTGCATGAGCATTGGTCTTCACAGGCGGCTTACGCAGCAGTATTAGTGGCGAGGCATTTAGCCATGTTTGCTCGCTGACCAATGTCCAGTTTCCCAAGGTTGTCAGGCAGAAGCTCTAGTTCCTCTTTATCGGTAATGCCGTTTAGGGTCACCTGACGATGTTATTTGTTGTATTTGGTCCTGTGGTGAATGCCATCAACATTTTTCTGGCCTCCTGGGTGCTTCTGTTGCTTACAGATTTGGCTGTTGCTATGGTTGCCATGTCTCTGAAGTTGCCAGGGTTAAAGAAACATTTTTTTTGTTTTTGTTTTTAATTTTTTGGTTGTTGTTGTTGTTTTTTTTTTGGTTTTTTTGTTTTTTTTTTTTTTTTAAAAAGGGTTTTTTCAAAAAAAAAAAAAAAAAAAAAAAGACAGGGTTTCTCTGTGTAGCCTTGGCTGTCCTGGAATTCACTCTGTAGACCTGGCTGGCTTCAAACTCACAGAAATGCTCCTGCTTCTGTGCTGGAGTGCTGGGTTTAAAGGTGTGTACCACCACTACCCAGCAAAGAAGCATGTTTTTATTTTACTAATTTTGTGTGAGTGTGAATGTATGAATATGTGTGTAGGTAGACGTGCCTGTAGAGATAGAAATAGAAAACAGACAGGACACTGTACCTCCACACTGTATTTTATTTCTTTGAGGTAGGGTCTCCTACTAAATCTGGAACTAATGGATGTCCAGCAAGCCTCAGCCTTCCTCCTCTCTGTCTCTTGTTGTGTTGGCATCACAGCTGTTGTGTGTGTGTCACCACACTGGGCTGTTACCCTGGGTTGTTACAATCTGAATAGAATACAATCATGCCTGTACAATAAATGGTCTTAACTGAGTCATTCATTCATTCATTCATTCATTCATTCATTCATTCATTCATTCACTTTTTTTGAGTAAGGGTTTCTCTCTGTAGTCCTGGCTGTTCTGGACTCTTTGTAGACCAGGCTGACCTTGAACCTACAGAGATACACCTGCTTCCCCATTGATGGTGTGTGCCATCATGCCCAGCAGTCCAAGTTATTTTTTTCAGTCTTTTGTATTAGGCTTTAAAAATTGAGATTTATTTTATTGAATTAGTATACAGTGAAAATCATTTTTTCTTTTCCTTTTTTTTTTTTTTTTTTGTGACAGGGTTTCTATGTGTAGCCTTGGCTGTCCTGAAACCTACTCTGCAGACTAGACTGGCCTTGAACTTACAGAGATCTGCTTGCTTCTGCCTCACTTGTGCTGGGATTAAAGCGTATGTGCCACCACTGCCTGGTTCATTATTTTATTCTACTTCAATTATGAATGATTCTAAATATATCAATAAATTGCTTTAGTCTTTAAGCAATGTTTAAAAATTATTTTTAAATAAAAATTATTTATTTTGACAGGCCTTTGGAAATGCAAAGACAGCTCATAATAACAATTCAAGTCGTTTTGGCAAGTTTATTCAAGTAAATTACCAAGAAACAGGCACTGTACTTGGGTAAGTATTGCCATTTAGAAGCAATAGATTTTTGGTACATATATATGCATATACACACACACACATGTATACACATATTTGGTATATACACACACACACATATATATATACATACATACACACATGCATGCCACACATACACACACACACAGATCTATTTTATTTTCAGTATATGTGTATATCACTTGAATGTAGTACTCTTGGAGGACAGAAGAGAGGCCATCAGATTACCTGGAACTGGAGTTATAGATGGTTGTTAGCTGCCATGTGAGAACTAGGAATTGAATTCAGGTTCTTTGAAAGAGCAGCCAGTACTGTTTATTGGTATGTTATTTCTCCAGTCCCTGGAACATATTTTTATTTTAGTTATTATTAGTTTTATAGGCTATGAATTGAATTGGAATCTGCATAAAAGTTTCCTCACTTTTTGGTGGTTTTGAATAGAAGATGGTGAGACTAATTACAATTCTTACCATGCTTAACAGTTGCAAGCATTTATGTTTATACTATACATTTTCAAAGATTTATTTTCAAGTCAGAAAAATGGCTCTTTAGTTAATTGTATTTTTTAATGTAATCATACTTTTCTACATATTTGCATTAGTGTGCTCCTAATTTAGGTATTTGATTTTGATATAGTAAAAATCCTTACATATTCTATGATTAGTCATTTGATTGTTCCAGCAATGTATTTTATAGGTTAAAAATTTAATAAAGTTTTCTTTAGACCAGTTTTAAATTCACAGCAGAAGGAAATGGAAATTACAGAGAGTTCCCATTTGTCATTTCCATCTTTACAAGCATAGCTTTCCTTGGTATATCTTTTGTTAGTGTGGTCTGTTTGTTAAAGTTGGCGAGCAGTCTTACGCGTTTTTATTAATTGTGAAATCCGTAACTTGTATTAAAGTTTGTGTGTTGTGTTGTACATTCTATTAGCTTTGAGAAGTGCAGGGATCATAGTCTCCATTTTAGTACATACAGCATAGTTTTACTTTGCTAAAAATCTTTCGAGTTTGATTTATTCAGCCCTGCTACCTTCCAGTCTAGGTATCTACTGAACTTTTACTATCTCCATATTACTTTTTCCAAAATGTAGAGTTGGAATCATATTGCATGTAGCCTTTTCAGGACGGATTCTTTAAGTTAACGGTGTACTTAAGGTTCTTCTATAGGTGTTGCCTGCTTTCATTGGTTTAACATTTAGTTTTGCAATTATTTTAGAGATGATTAACATCTTTGTACTTTTTAGAATCACATTTTTTGTATATTTGAGTTTATGTTAAGTATTTATTATGAGTGTATAGTTTTTTCTGCTTGTTGTGTGAAACTATTGATTTATTTTTATTTTTTTATATTAATTATAGTTTATTCATTTTGTATCCTAACTGTAGCCTCCTCCCTTCTTCCCTCCCAATCTTACTCTCCCTTCTTCCTGTCCTCCCATGCCCCTCTCCAAGTCCACTGATAGGGGAGGACCTCCTCTCCTTCCACTGGACCCTAGTCTATTAGGTCTCATCAGGAGTGGCTGCATTGTCTTCCTCTGTGGCCTGGTAAGGCTCTTTCCCCCTCAGGGGGATGTGATGAAAGAGCCAGCCACTGAGTTCATGTCAATGACAGTCCCTGTCCCCCTTACAAGGGAACCCACTTGGATACTGAGCTGCCAAGGCCTTTGTAGAGGATATTTAAAAGCCAGGACACAGGCTGGAGACAAGGCTCAATGGTTAAGAGCACTGTCGGTTCTACCAAAGGTCCTGAGTTAAATTTTCAGCAACCACATGGTGGCTCATAACCACCTATACAGGTATCTGATGCCCTCTTCTGGCATGCAGTTGTACACACAGATAGAACACTCATATACATAAAATAAATAAAAACAAGCCACTACAAATATCACTGTAATAATCTTTTTGCCCTTTATGTCAATACTGTTTTTTCCACTAAGCAAAATTTTACCTAAAGAATTAATTAAACATTGATTTTTGTCTTGAGTTTATGTTAGTCTTGCACATTAAGTATTAGCATAGGTATTTTTAGGATCTATGTAGATAACATGTCTTTATCCTGAAATACATTGATACTGCAGTTTTTTTTCTCTAATACTGAATTGTTTTGCGTTCCAGGAAAAATGGTCAGTATAAACACATACATACATATAAACTATTTTTCTATTTGATGGTTTTTATTACGATTTTTGTACCCCTATTAGTAAGTTGATAACTTCTCCGTGTTATTTAAATTAAATCTCAGTCTTCTGCATTTCTGAATTTAAATTAAAAAAAAAAAAAAAAGCATGGCCCAAACTACTGTGTATACAGTGTTTCTTCCCATCTGTAAAGAACCTAAAACCAATGTCACGAACAACCACAGAAGTCCACGGGAGATGTTCAGTGACAATTTCATAGGTTATTTCTTTTCTTGATTTTTTAAGTCTGACCAGTTTTGGTACTTTTTCTCTTAAAATTTGGATATAGTCAAGGAGTTAGATTTTTAGTTGTGTTTCAGAAGAGGATGGCAATAGGCAAAGTCACATAGATTGCTTTTTAGCCTCAGATATAACAGTGTATATCTTCGTGGATTAAGATAGTTTGTGAATTATGGAGTACATACCTAACTAACTTCATTGAAGGAAATGCAGGATCTTCTGTTGACTGTATGATGAGGGGTAGGGCTATGACCAGGATGTAAGTAAGTAAGTAAGTAAATAAATAAATAAAAAGTTTAAACATTTTTTTATGGTGAACAAAAGCCAAATAAGCAGCATGTATATGGATTGGGCACTATTAATTTATTTTTTTATGTATTAACCATAGATTTGTGGTGTGCATTTTGAGTATCAGGCATTGTTCTGAACATCGAAGATTAAGAAAAAAAAACATGTAAATATGTTCTTTGCCTTTGATGTTATCATTGTCTTTTGGGGAAATAGATATTAGTTGGTCATAGTAAATGATAAGTTGATTGATTAAAGTATGTTTCTGGAGGTCTTCTGCAAACCTTCCTTTGGTGTTCATGTTGAGTATTAAAATTGCCAAGTGGAAGGACTGGGAGGTCATTTTATGAGGTGAGAAATTGTTTTTAGTAAATGACTGTCATTATAACAAAGCTTGCTGTATTTGAAGAGGCAAGAAAAAATGGGTATAGCGTTGTCATAGATGTCAGTTTGGTCAAATTGAATATAAAACTGATTTATAATTATCTTGATATTGTGAAGTAAATTTTAGATAATTTTATTCAAAAAGTCAAATATGTACACAATAGGGAAAAAAATTAAATAGAACAAGGACATCCTAAGTAGATTCAACAGTGATTAGGTTTTACCATATTTAATTAATCTGTCCCTTCTTTTTCTATGCTGGTTTTAAGTAGAATCTCAGACACAGGTAATGTACTCCATACTGTGGGAAGCAGATAAATGTAGAGGCATAATATGACTAGCTCTTTCTATGAACTGATAATCATTGTACTAGGAGAACTCATGGATTAGGATGGAAAAAAAAAGAGATGTGTAGGAATTAAAAGATTGAAAGTCACCCTTTGTAATAAAATTAGACACAGGTTTATATTCAAATGATGATTGTGTTGCTGATTAATAGTATATAATTTTGATTTATTTTTATTTCTTGAAAAAGGTTTTCATTATGTATATTTTACTCTTGATATGTTCACCTGGTTATCTCATCTGCTATCCATTTGATTTTGTATTTTGAGAATTTAGCATAGATAATGCTAATATCTATAACAATTATAATGATGAATGTACTGCTGCTATCTGGAGAATGCATCTTACACTTTTTAACTGTCTAAATAAGTAAAATCTACTTTATATTAAACTTCATTATTTATATAAACTTATTTGTATTGTTTATATCAACCAATTTCATTTTCTTCCAGGGCCTATGTTGAAAAATATCTACTGGAAAAATCTAGACTTGTTTATCAAGAGCATAATGAACGGTATATTTTTTTATTTGTATAATAAGATCAAATTTGGAGCACCACACAGATTCTCTTTATGTTCTTTGTTTTAATTCATTGTATATTATGCATAGTTATTCTGTGTAACTTCTATTTCTTTCTTGGGTAGAATGCTTTTTTTTTTTTTTTAAAGGCAGTTGGAAGATTTTTATTGGATATGCAGAAATGTTATTCTTTCTCAGTTCTAGATTGGTGACAGGAAAGTAGTTTTTCAGATAACTCATTCTTCCTTGAGCAATCTACTTTCATAAGCCATGATATATTTCCTAGTGTTCTTTTTCTCAGTTGAAAGTAGTTTTAAACTAGGTGTAGTGGTTTGTTCCTGTAATCCCTGTACCTGGGAGGCCAAGGCAGGAAGATTACTATGAGTTCAAGGCCAGTTTAGGGCATGTAATAAGTACCATGTCAGCCTGGGCTATAGTGTTAGACCCTTTCTCCAAAGTCACCAGAAACAAAATGAGTTTTCAGAAAATCTCCTAATTCCATTGTCATGTTTGAGGTAGATAGAACTTTAGAAATGGTATATGTTTCAGATGAAGAAAACAAATTTAGGGAGGTAAATTAATTGCTTTATATGTTATTGTGCTACAATAAAGTTACGACTCAGAGTATGAAGTTAAATATCTCTGAACTCCCATGTATGCCTTGGGTATCTCACTTTTCTTCTTAAGTACTTAAACTCTTTCTGTATTTGTTTCAAGGCCTAAATGAAATAATACCGCTCCCCCCTAACCTCCTCCCCCTGCCCCTGCTTTCCCCTCCCAGCAGGGTTTCTCTGTGTAACAGACTTGGCTGTCCTGGAACTTGCTCTGTAAACCAGGCTGATTTCGACCTCAGAGATCTGCCTGCTTCTGTCTCCCAAGTCCTGGGATTAAAGGTGTGTGCCACAACAGTCGTTTTATCTATCTATCTATCTATCTATCTATCTATCTATCTATCTATCCATCCATCCATCCATCCATCCATCCATCCATCCATCCATCCATCCATC